GGTATGAGCAGGGGGGGGCAAGGCAGTAAAACGACCATCAGTCATTCTAGGCTCATGTTTTTGCACGGTTTAGCTCCTAAAGTTTTAGACGTTGGTGCAGTTACCCCTTACGGTCAAACTGCTTGCGACATGAAGGGTCTTTCTTTCGGAATGGCTTATATACCCGTCGATTGGCTACCTTTTTATCTCACTCCCAACGAGTTTAACCTTTTACCCCCAAATTCTCATATCGACTCCGTCGAAGTGACCGTTACGCCCGTCGGGTGCCGTACAGCTTTCGAGCACGGCAAAAAAGACCCCGGCGTGGCAACCCAGGAATGGGTCGCCATAGGCCGCTATTTTATCGGGCTCAATAAAAAATTTCCTATAATTAATCACCGGATCACCACCAACGCTCAAGATCCCATGCAACCCTCCTCTCTCGCTGCTATAGATAAGAAACTGATGGTGGATAAATATTATCACGATCCATGTCAGGCCGCGGTTCTCGGTTACCCTGTGCAAATCGACGAGTACGCAACTTACATTTACAATAACACTCAGCTCGCTGAGACGACTTATCTCAAGGTGAAAGACTACGTACCGCATAAAGGAGGCAATCCGCGGTTCGACAAGTTGATCAACCGGTTCATGTTTAATGCTCACGTAGGTAAGCCGATATGCAATTACAAGTACGCGCCCGGCAACGGGGGCATAAAATCTAAAAGAGGTGTTAATATCAATTACGCTCAAGCTCAGCAGAATATTCATACCGAAAAACATTTCGGTTCTTTCAAGTATAAATTCGCTCCTTGGAAAATAACCGAGAAGAAAAATAATGAAAATGTTATTACTGGTTACGGGGATATGGCTTGTACTTATGAAAATAGTAACGTGTCGAACGTGCAAATTCCTGTTTCCTATGGTTACGATCGCCAGTTAGAAATGGGCGCTTATATTCATAACGTAGGAAGCGGAAAATACATGCCCGCTCAACCTCAATTGCATATCGGCTTAATGCCTACTCCAAATTTGGATCCTACAAAATCTCAGCACAGTTTTCAAATTTCGAGTGCTTATTTCGAGATTAAGTCTACTATTCATATTTCTCATAATATCGATTCTTGCATGACTGATGGTCCTACTGCTATTCAATGGAACGATAACATTACTACTTTTGATGGCGAGTCGTGCTGGCAACGTATGCCCTCTGGTCTCACTTTTGCCGCCGCTCCCATTAATTTTCCAGAGGATACTCCTCTTCCAAAAAAATCAAAGGGTAATTAAGGATTAGTTCATTAAGGACAAAATGTAATTAAAAATAAAACATGTATATTAATCACAAAATTTCTCTTCTTATTTACTAATCACATAATATTTTTTTTCAAACTATTTCTTCGTCCATCCAGATGTCCTCTCCCTCGGCGTTAGTGTCCACAGTCAATCCAACAATGGCGTCCTCCACTTCCATCTTGTCGTGGATGCGCAGACATTGTGAAAACTTGTCGTCATCGTACCTTACGTAGCGTCTGTCTAGAAGATTGTACGTTAGCAAAAGGTACATCAGGGTCAGAGGATGCAGCTTTTTGCTGTAATCTTTCAAGAATGGTGCCGTACGCCAAGTGTACCGTATCATCCTCGTTCTGAACGCCTGCTCGTTCGGGAAGATATCGTTGTTCGAGAGCACTATCACCGGAGTGCGGTGCAAAATGTAATCGTTAGAGTACTTGACTTTAACGTTACAAGTGTCACCGCCCAGAATGCATTTGAGTGTCTCCAGTGAAGAGCTCTCGCAACTAGGTTCGTTCCACAATATTATTCTGCGCTGTACGCACTCCTGCAGAGGGAAATTATCGTATTTAGTGAAATTACCCATCTGCCCGAAGTTTACGCAGCTTTGCAGAACACTATCGAAAAAGAAATTCTTCCCCGAATTCGCAGGCGCCCAGACAAAGAAACTGTTGACTTTTGGTTTTTTTTTATCGATTATGTCGAGAAGGTCCTCCAAGAATGCCTTAATATTGGAAAATTGCATCTGGTGCGACAGCAAGATTAACGCAATTTCAAAACTCTCGACTTCGCTGTAATAAGTTTCTTGAGGAGTATTGCTCGAAAACAAGCGATTCTTCTCGGGAACGTTGAGTATTTTGTTCAAAATCTCAGTATACGTCATCTGAGTGTAGTGAAATTGCGCTAATCTTACCGCCACACGTAGACATTTTTGGTCCAAAGGCATCCATCGGAAAGGCCCTTCTAGCCACAATCGCGTATCGAAAAACCTTCCCAGCGGGGTCACGACACATCCCATTATTCGATCTAGGATCTGCTCGCCCTTGTTTCTTCTTTGTATTCGGGATGTATCATTGTCCCCTCCACTCCTCTCTCCACAAGAGCTTTCGTTTTCCGCTCGCAAATCTCCTTCAGCACAGCTAGGTCCGGGTCTTGGGGATCCAGGTGGAACAGCGTCCGCCATTCCGCGTCGACCCACCAGTTGAACGGCTTCTGCTGAACGATTTTTGCGAACGGGTAAAGTTCCAGTCTTACTGTGGTATGACCAATTTCTCCCTTCGACTGAAACTTTAGCTGCCCTCCGTCCACCGCTGCATAAGTATATTGCGAGATAACTCCACCATTCCTCGCTGTATTCACGCTCTTGGCGATTTCTGCGAGCCACCCACCTCCCGAACTTCCCGCGCAGGTGCTTCGTGATGTAGCACCTGCACGTGCTGTTTGAGAAGCGGCAGGCGTGAACACAGTGGAGGTGGCAGCCGTGGACGGAAACGATGAAAGTCCCTGTGGAGAGCCGAGCCAGCTGCTTTGAAATGACCTCCGGATCTCTGTGGGCAGCTCCAAGTCGAAAAACGTCGTGTATGACGTATCTTCGACCATTATGTCCACCAAATCCGGAACGCCACAGGTCAACAGCTTCTTTCCCTGACCTACCAATGCTTTTATACATCTCTTCAACATACCTGACCCCAGGATTCCCCAATTCTGCGCATCCGTAGCCATTGTCGTGAGTTCCGTCGTCATCACTTCCAGTGTCCGGGGGAGAGGCGCCAAACCGCATCCACTCAGGTACACGAGATTGGTCACCATCAATAGCCATTCCGATGTTTTCGCCTTCTTCTTCAGCTTTTCCTTTTCCCGCTCTGCCT